GATATATATATATATATAAAGGTATAGAGATGGATAATATAATTATGAAAATGATAATGATAATAATATGGGTTAAGTCGACGTACGGCCCAGACGGACCGGGCCAGACGAACAGGGGGGGGTCCGTCCGGCAAAACCAGACGAGCCAAAAAACATCCCAAGATTTTTTATTTTTTTTATTTTTAAGATGGGGTTGGAGTGCGCTTAGTGAGAGGAGCCCGAATCCGCAAAGAAACTTGTGAAAGTCATGTGCAGTGGGGGGAGTGGGGGTGGGTGGGGGGGGGGGGGGGGGAGGGGGGGATTTGTCAAGGGGGTAAAAGGTTGTGTTGTAGCAGCTAGTCCGCTGAGGGGACTGGCTATTGACAGTACAAGAAGAAGAAGAAGAAGAGGAAGAAGAAAGGAGCAGACTGAAAAAAAAAAAAAAAACAGGCATTTGACCACTCACGCAAACGAAGTCATATGGCGGGAGATTTGAGTGTCAAAGTCTCTCTCTCTCTCTCTCTCTCTCACACACACACACACACACAGACACAAGTGTCAAAGTCTCTCTCTCTCTCTCTCAGACACACACACAGTGTCACACACTTGTGGACATGCTGATCTCATTCGGAATCAGCGTCGCAGCCCTCATCCTCAGATGGTTGTTCGCTGCAGTCAACTGATTTCGGGTCATCCTCCACGACCGTCTTGCGCTTGAGGCGCTGTTTCTTTTTTTTAACCGGTGTAGTGGCCGTGTCGGTCTTCTGCTTTCGCGGTCTTCCACGAGGACGTTTTGGCTGTGCAGGAGCGTCCTGTGATGGCTCCTTTCTCTTCCTGCCCACTCGGTTCACCCATAGGTTGTCATGCTGGACATCCTCCCTCATTGCGGGGAATTCCGGTATCTTCTCCTCGGACTCCGGAAACTCCGCTGGCCGGGGCCTGCGTGTGTAGACTGCTGTCGTTGTGGGATGGGGCTCGTCTTCGCGGGCCGTATCGACCTCGCCGTGCTGCATCTTCGGTTGCGCCAATCCTTCCCCCTCCTCTTCCTGCTGCATTTCCTCTTCCTCCCCGCCTTGCACCGTGCCTTCCTCTTCTTCTTGGTGCTCCATCTCCTCTTCCTCCTGTGGTTGCGCCATGCCCTCTGCCTCTTCTTCCTGTTCCATGTAATCTCCCACCTCAGCCTGGTGCTCCTCCTCTTCTCCTTCTTCCTCAACCCCCAATGCCTGATTGATCTGCTGTTGGTGCTCCTTGGCTTGTTTGAGACCTCTCTCGATCTCTCTCCGAGTCTGGATAGGTGCACGACGGGCCTCCTCCTCCATCATACGTTTGTTGACGAGTTCGGTCTCCCGGTTAGCCATAGCCTTGGCACGGTTCGCATCCTCATCTTCGTCCACCCTCGTTTCCAGCAACATCTCAACATCCGTGTCTAGCCGTGCGAACTCGACATCAGATTGCGGATTGTACAGTGCAGTTTCCCTTACCCCGGGCTCCGTCGCTGTCGGGCGTGGCTCTTCTCTGCGTTGTCGTCCGGTCCGCCTCCTTCCGACGTACGTCGTGCCTGGGACGGACGTCTCTGGTCGTAGCTCGAAATCGGAGTCATCGTCGTCATCCTCTTCGCTGCCACATGAGTCCTCCGATAATCCACACTTCCCCTTCCACAACTCGTCATCCAAATCACTGTCATCCGTGAGCTCTTTGTCCTTGTCCTCGAGATTTTTTGGAACCCTTCCCTTCGGAGTCTTTGTGAGCCTCCGTTCCCGTACAAGTTCCTCCTCTGTCTTCTCAGCCTCATCCTCGGGCCCCTTCGACACCGATCCATCGTTCTCTTCAGGCTCCGGGGCGGGCTCGACGAAGTCACACCACAAGTCCACAAATCCGTTGTTCTTAGTCTTTGGAACATGCAACGCAATAGCTGCATGTTTCAGTGTATGTACACTAGCTTCGCCAAGCTTTCTGGCGACAACTTGTTCCTTGGTTTGGAATGGATGAAGTCCATGGAAGCCCAGTTCCTCTCCGCCGGCGATGCGGTGCTCCACATGCCCATAACCTTGATTGCAATCTTCTGCAATTCGGGCACATCGCCCCCGTGTGCTGCCCACCATTCCGACGGTGTCTTCTTGTCAACATCTGCCTTCGCTGTGGGGTCCCACATCTTCGTGTCATTCCTTTTCGGGGCGTTCCTTGTAGGTTTGTTGTGGAACTCGTTCAGGTCACTCCAAATGTCAAGGTGCGCTTGCCCTTTCCATTCACCTCCAACCTGCCTCGAGAGAAAGCGCATGGCATTTGCACAAGCGCACTGTCTTGGTCATGCAACCACCTCGGTTCTCTCCTGCGCGGGTCCAAAAGAAACGCTGCTGTGTGGACGGGCTGCCGCATCATCTTCATGCGTTCTTTGACTTTCTCCATCACACTCGCCCGCTGTTCCACCGTAAGAACAACATGGCTAAGCTTCCTCTCTATCATGTCGTCATACTCGACAAGGTTTGTAGGACCGGTACCGTCCTGATCCATCCGCCTCAAGAGGCCGAACACGGGCTCCATCACCTCAACCACCTTGTTCAACCCCGTCCACCAATCATCACTCCTCAATGTGAAGTACACTAGATCCGATCTGGCCCTCAACTTCGACGTGGACCATCGGATTGCATTCCACTTTACTGCATTCCGACCGTTGACCATGTCCTTCAACACCGCCCTCCTGTCGTATATCCTCTCCAACATTTGGTAGACTGACCCGAAGCGCACCTCCGTGGGTCGAAGAAGAGACAGCGAATCGTCCACTGTCATCATCAGACTGTTTGTGCTGTGGTGATTTGTGATGAACTTGATGATTGTGTGGCCCCTCTTAACGGTGTGCTTCACCCAATCGAGTTTGCTGAGGTCGCGCAAGAGAAGGCTGTAGCAATGTGCAGCGCAAGGAACCCACGAAATCCTTGCTACCTCCTTGTCCGTTCGTCACTCCAGGATCTGAGCCGCCCTTTTGTTGACCTCCGCGTTGTCAGTGCAGATCGCATTGATTTGACGCAGTCCGATTTCCGTCATGATCTGCGCCCAAAGTTTCGTCAATGCAGGTCCGGTCTTCTTCCTCCCGGACATTGACAACGTCGCCACCAGAACCGCCCCATCCACCCCAGCTGCCAAGAAGTTCATCACGGGCCGCTCCCGACGATCGCTCGATCCGTCTGTGATGAAAGTACACCCGCTCACATCCCAACAAGTAGTCAACGGCTCCACCGTCTTCTGCACTCGCATGTACACAATGTCCAACATGACGGTCCTCATGTGGTTGAAGGAGGGCAGTTTCACCTACGGTCTTGACTTTGCCACCTGCAGGTACACTTAGTGGAGTTTCTGGGTGGTTTCGAAGTGCAGGAAGTTGAACGGGATCCCAGCACGAAACATGGCCTCCACCCATGCAATGTCGAGTTTCTTCTGCGCATCGTTGTCCACCCACCTCCTTATTGTTGACTGCTGCAATGAGGACAGCCGTGTGTTCGACCCCGACGCCTCACCCTCTGCCGCCTCCAAAGCATTGTCCTTGTGCAAATCCCCTGCATCACATGGAGGAGCAGCCCTGCCCGCAGTGGGCGGTGGCTGTGGCTCAAGGTATGAGGGAACTTCAACCACCTCGTCGGCCTTCTCCGTCTGATCGACCCCCCCTTCCGGAATCCCATGCAGCTGCCTGTAATTCTTCAGCAAGTACCGCGTATTCTTATCACCCGGCAGCACTTTCCCCCCGGAGTTGACGAGCTCATTCACCATTTCCCCCGCGCGCGACGGACACGGCTTCTGCGTCTTCAGGTAATGTTCCACCGCTCTTGAGCTCGTGCCCCTCCAAATCTGCATGCACAACCGACACCTCACCCAATACTCGCTTCCTGACCCTGTTCTGCGTACTTCCACACAGGCTTCTCCTTTTGCAACTTGTACTGCCTCGCCTTGTCCTGTGGAACGAACAGCAAAGGGTCCATTGCCAGCGTGGGGTCTTTGGAGGTCACTGTGGATATGGGTGTAGCGGAGGTGCTTGCAACGTTTTCTTTTCCTTTTTCTGCTGCCGTTTTGCGCCTCCTCCGTCCAGAACCGCCACTCCCCCCTCCAATGTCGCTGGCACCGCCCGCCATAGTGTCGTGGAAGTAGAGGATGCAAGGACAACCAGCGAAGGAAAAACCAAGTTCAAATATTGGAAGAAGAAGAAGAAGAAGAAGACTTAGCGAGGAGGAGAAAGGAGCAGGAGAAGCTGGCGAGAAAAGGAGGAGGAGGAGAGAAGAAGACGACGGGAGGGGGAGGAGGAGAGAGAGGAGGAGGAGGAGGAGAACCTGCCGATTTTGAGTTGCGTTGACGAAAAAAAAAAAAAAAAAAGAT